TCTGCTCCTCGGTATCCACGCGGCTAGTGACTTGGACATCGTCCATGTCATCTTGTACCACGCTGGAGATATCGCGAGAAGCTGGCGGTGACTCTATCCCGTCCATGGTGTGGCTAAACTCTGCCCGCATGTTTTGAGAGTCGACCGGACGAGAATGATTAAGTTCTGGGATGCAGACTTCCATCGCTTCGGTTTGCGATGCTGCTCCAAGGATGGTTAACAGCCCACTAGTACTGACATCGCGGTCTGTGGTATCTGTCGAATGTGTCGGTTGGAGAGTGGTGGGCTGGGTCTCATGTACATCAGCGGCGGCAACGTGGACTATACTGTTTTGGTCGTTGCCATCGTCGTTTGTGTATTCGGTAACAGGCGCATCTGCCGTACCGCCGTTACTCTGGGGAGCCCTTGTAGGCTCAATGGTGAATGATTGCTCTGCCGAGACTGCACCATGACAGGCTTTGACTTCGGCAAGAGCGCTGGTGTCTTCCCCGACATCGGCTTGTAAGTTGGCGCAGTCTTCAACTCTGTCAATGGCTTGGTCAAGCTCAGGAGACAGTGACGCCTCCGTAGTGAAGGTGCTGTAGCTGCTGACCGACGAGAATAGCGACGAGTCGTCGGATGAATCGTCGGAAGATTCCTCGTCACTGGAGATGTCTGGTAAAGGAGTACTACTGGCGTACTCAAGAATGGATACCACGCGGGGTTCATGGAGAAGGATGCGCTCTTCAGCCTTCGAAAGTGACGGCAGGGGCTTCTTGCTCGCGACATCCAGATAGTACTCGTCGAAGGTTTGGTGAGGCTTCAGAACTTTGAAGTCGGTACAAAGGTCCTCGAACACGTCTTTATGTTGCCCGGTAACGTTCTCGTACTGCTGGAGGTGTGACCGCGCGACAACAGCAGAGCGGCGTGATCTCTGGTTGCGAGAAGCCTTGCGAAGTCTCGACCTAGGGGTCTATTTTCCGTCAGTCTGTAGATTGTTCATCACGCGACGCAAGACTTACGGTGTTGTTGTCCGCCGGTGATATCTCGGCGCGCATCGCTTCCTGAACTGAAGCAACGACGACCGGTATCATCTTAGCGAGCATCTGTTCCAGCGCGCCAGCCTCGTACATCGGGCGGAGCGCGGCGAGTAGACGGGAAACAATGCGTTCCTCCATGGCCTCCAGATACTCAACCAAATGAGGGGACAAGGGGCTGTCAGATGAGAAGACGGGGGCAGAGTTGGTGGTAGCCATTGCAAGAAGATACAGGTCGACAGGAAAAGAGGTGTCTGACAGAAGAAATGTGTGTAGTATTGCAAGAAAGTAGGTCAGATTCGCGGTGTGATGCGACTGAGCGGGGTATTGTGACTAGAAGGTCGTGAGAGCGACGCTTTGGCCAAGATATCGCGTGCGACAGGGATCTATAGGACTGCAGCGACTGAATACCGACTTTCATTGAGCCAGTAATATCTATGCGTGATTGAGTCCAGGTGAATGCGTCATAATAGCAAAACGTGCGAACGTGATCTACCCAAATAGGATATTCCAGGCGTAAAGATCCAGCAACGCCCAATCAAAGATAACGCTCGCAGAAATTCTAAGAAGTGCGACACGAAGCTACAACTTCTCATCGACAATAGCAAGTCTCCATACACAAGCGGCCATAAAAGCGGTACTTTCAAGAAAGTGAAAGAGGAGGAGAAAGATACAAACACATCTCTCTGACGTCAAGCCTTGGGATACATTGCGCACCTCACAGGCGGAACAGCGCTCGAGGATCGCGTCTTTGCCCTTTCCAGGCAGCCCTGAGATGATCAAAGGATAACCTTGTAGTAGAGATAGTGACGACGCCGATTTGTAGCTCGTAGGACGGTAGAAAACATGCTACTATTCTTGATCTGATTGCCGACGCGCTGGAATACAAAAGAAGGTGCGATAGCCTTTGAAGACACGATCCGCAGATGACATGGAATGAGACTGGTGATGTGTAAAGATGAACAGGACAATTAGAAACTTCCCGCTCACACACCTGCGTATGGGTGGCTTAGGGATAATTGTAGCCAGGCAGCTAGGATTTCAAGCACTTCGATCAAGATATCTGGGCTTGGACTCTCAACAGTGACCCATCGGCATCATGCCCTTTCTCTCCCGATGCCGGACAATACGTGCTAAAAGACGACGCGTGCGACCCATTGTCACTTCGTTTACGTTAACTCGATCATTCAGACGTTCTCAAGACGGAAACAGCGGCAAGAAATTGTAGGACCTGGAGATGGCGTCGTCGCGTGAAAGATGTTTGAGATGGGGTGGCTGGAGAGACGCGTTGGAGTTTCGTTATGGATCGAGTATTACGTCATATCTGAGTAATCATGCGTCCGGACCTGACGCGCGACGCGACGCGACCCTCATCCCACTGTCCATCGCGATGCACGTCGACCTACAACGCGAGTAAACGACCAAGCGCGCTTCCATTTGGACACAATCACCCTATCCGCGTATCCTCGCAGAATCTTTGGCCACCGCGTCTTGCTTCCAACGCTGCTTTACTACAGCATCCTTTACCCCGCCCCACAATGATCATCAGTATACCTAGGTAGCTTCGCAAAGTCTACATAATCCCAATGATAGGGTTTGATCTATTTGTCTATCGTCTAACTTCAGTTCGGACTTCCTGTGAAAGATGGACTCGAGAGGCTATACATAGCGTTTCGGGGTGCAGCATAGGCTGGTAGGTGTTCGCTTCCATCTCCACGCAGCAGCCACGTCGATGTGTCAGCCAGCACAGCACGGTATCTTCACGATCTAGTACTCCGATACACAGTATCGATTCGCGCGCCTTTTCTGACCTATCTGGTGTTGGCAGCCATACATGGCCAACACGTAACACAAAAATAGCGGTATGCGGTGACGCTAGACCAGATCCGACGATGCTTACACATGCTTACATTGCGCCGGTGGCTTCAATATCACACACTCCGTGCGGTCAATGGAGACGTCGGGGCTTATCATCTACGAAGTATAATGTGGTGTGTGGAACACTCAATCAAAGCTTCAAGTCTAGTTGCATAGCAATCTCGACAAGATGGTGAACGTCACCAATGCCAACGGCATCACCGGCGCCAACTTCGACGTGTTCGGCACTAATCGCGTTCTTCCTCGGGCAATGACAGCATTCACAGCCATCGCGTGGTACAACTCGATTGAACTCATCATCCTCATCTTCGTCGTATTCAGACGGTACACTGGTCTATACTTCTGGAGTTTGATAGTTAACACACTCAGCATTGTGCCGTATGCGACAGGTAGGCATAAACTTCTAGACTGGCAGTGGTGATGGCTAACTCAGTCTCCAGGAGCATGGATGAAACAAAACAGCGTTGCGCATGACCCTCGAATTTACAATACCCTCCTTACAATCGGATGGATATTGATGGTACCCGGACAATCCATGGTTCTGTACTCGCGCTTACACTTGATATCGCCGAACCTCAGGCTTCTGCGATTCATCTTTTGGGTCATCGTTGTTTCAGCAGTATGCCTTTGCGTGCCGACCGTAGTCCTGAATCTACGGTTATTCACCAATCACCCAGAGCGATACCTTCGCGGCTACATGGTCATGGAGAAAATACAAATGACTCTGTTCACCATCCAGGAGATCTCGATATCCTGCATCTACCTCTGGGAGACTCGCAAGCTGATGCGTGTAATCTTTGACGGAAAGGCTAGAAAGTGGATGTGGCAGCTCGTCGCAATGAGCATACTCCTGCTGATACTGGATATCGCGTTGCTTACGACGGAGTTCTTGAATCTCTACATGATACAGACGACCTTCAAATCACTTGTTTATAGCTTCAAGCTCAAGATTGAGTTCGCAGTACTCAGTCAAATTGTTCGCGTCATCCAAGGTCGTGCGCACTCTAGCCGCTCAGACATAACGCACCCGTCGGATTTGGAGCGCCAACTCAATGTCCGAAAATCGACGTCCAGTCAGGTGTCAGAGGTGGAGAGCTTGCAACACAACGTACCACTTGAATGGCGCTTGTCAAGGGAGGCCACATCTTTTGTCTCGCCAGTCGCTCTGACTATAGCGAAGAGACAAGACATCAAAAGCGCTAGGTGCAGCGTCGTGTCTATAGATGCGATGTATCCCGGGAGATTGGGGTGATATCGCAAGAGGCGTTTTGGGTTGAGTGGACGATCGAGGATGATCGACGGGAGGGATACGGCGTGGAACTCGCGGCAGTTACTTATAGAAGGTTCCTGAACCGGTGAGCATTGACGCGCGCTGCACATCCTCTCAGCAAGGGTATCACTTATTTCCATGCGCGATCGGAACAGTCCGCGGTGTGCTTCACACCTTCAACCTTAGCAATGCTCCTTCGGCGTCGTCAGGTCATCATCCCGCGGCCAAGCTCCTCCTCTAGGCGGCGAGTTACGTCCTCGATTTGAGCAGGCCTGGTGAAGTTCCAGCCAGACACATCCGTAGCCTGCGGCTGCCCAGTGAGAACTCGAATGATGCACAGCTAAAGCAGGATATCGAAGAGCTTTGTCTTGGGAATATGGCGATTGGCGCGCATGAGGTTGCAGTGCATCCAGACAGATGGTGGTACTATGAAAGAAGGTACGACGGGCATGTGATTATTGAAAGGTCGGACACGGTTTATAGGAGAAATGCTCCATTAAACTGATGCTAAGGCTCTTCACACAAGATGGAAGCTATAATGAAACTTTGGATTTGCTACGTAGTAGTGGTCCGATGCTGAACCTCGACGTAAATGTGATGATGAACTTTGGAAAGCCTGTGCGCATTCTTTGCGGCGTGTGAGTCTCAGACTCGAACGTTGAGAAACGTAGCCATGCATGTAGAACCAAAGCTTCTCTGAACGAACAAACCAAATAGAAAGAAAAGAATGACCATCGCAACGATAAGTAAAGTACCTCTGCACGCGTGTGTAGATGTGTCGCACGATCTGCAACCCTCGCTTGACCAACTGCTCCGTTCCCGGCTTCTTTTTCCGCTCAAGCCAACTTAAACATACCACCATGCCAGCCGTATACCCTCTGCAGCCTCCTGCCAAAGCGCCGAGCCATGATGTAGGGGATGCTGCTATCAGGATGAGGCTCATGAAACTGAATGCCACGAGCGACATCCGTAGAAACACTAGGAGTAAACTGCCAGGCTGAGCCTTGGAGTTTTTCCGCAGAGAAGCCGGCTCGAATCATAGCGCGCTTGAAGTCGTCCCACTTGATCGCTTTCGGTGTCTCTCCAAGATCTGAAAGAGGGACATGAAAGAGGGACATGAAAGAGGGTCTTGAACACCTTGTGGGCACGCTTGTCGACGCAGTAGATTCTCTCGGGCTTCTTCTCGGGGCTTGGATGACCGATCTCGTGAACTTGAGTCATCGGCGTGATGTCCACAGGAGCATGGTAGCGCTTCTTTCGCTTGGCACTACCCCGTGTGACCGGCTTATCGAAGGTTCCGGTAATCTGTAGTGCAACATCGTGGTCGTAGTTGCTGATGGCTTTGTACTCGATGCTTTTGAAGCACTCTGTGGGAACGCTTGGGCCAGTCCACGGAGCAGTTCGGCGCATCTCACCACCTTCCAGGAGGCATCGACGTACCACTTCATCTTGCGCAACACCCGTCCTGCGCTCGTAGAAAGAGTCGATACAACTCCAGAACTTGTCAAGATTTGACTCCGAGTCTCGCATTGTCTTCACGTTCTGAGCGTTTCGCGGCTTATCGATGGGATAGCGTAGCTTTCCTCGCGCTGGGTTGACCAAATAAGCGGGTACGTTATAGGCATAGATATAATAAGCCCAATTTATCGAGAAGTCTCCCTTGTTCGACTCTGTGGCTTTCATACCGGATGTGCAAAGTAGCATCCAGATTTCCGATGACTTCTTCCATAACTCAATCTGATGAAGACACTCTTCGACAACGGAGAGCTGGCTGATGAGAGACGACAAAGGAGCTGTAAGCATAGCGCGCGCGCTTTGATGTTTGCGTGAGAGAGTGTCTAGACGGTCCAATGTGGCGTGTAGATCAATGTCAACGTTGATTTTCTCACCCCCAGACATCTCTGCAAAGCCATTAATGTTCTTCCGAGAGTCGTTTTGACTGAAAGCCAGCAGACGATGAAACACGCTCAGCATCCATGCTTCGCCCTCCGTTGGAAGTGTGTGTCCTCCTGCGATGGCGATTTGTGTATATGGACCATCTCCTGATCCAGAAACTATGCGTTCATAGTAGTTCCGCATCGTCGGTGACGCCATACTGGTGCTAGTGACGTCTCCCAAGAGGCAACTTCGGGCGCGCTCAAGTAGCGCCTCCAGATCAAGGACACTCTGTAGCTGACTCTTGGTAGCGGTACCGTTCTGGGCGTGCAAGCAAAGCTGATCTAGTCTTGCCGAGACTTCGGACCACATTATCAGCCTCTGGTATGACTGTGAGATTATGTGACTTGTGACACCCATAAGGAACTCTGGAGTATCAACAGATTGATCGATTCGACCACATGCATCCGGAATAAGCTCACGGCTGTGTTCCGAATTGTCGATAATTGTGTCCGCAAGATAGGAGGGATCTTCTCGTAGAGACAGTACATGATCCTTAGCTTCGCTGTACATCGCGTTGACGTAGCCTCGAAGTCTGGCAAGTTCCAGATCCCCTCGCTTGATATAAGGCGCTATCGCGATGGTGTCGGCGAGATTGACATGACTGCCATCCACTGGCAAGAGGATTTCTGAGACTGGCGGCTCTTCCAAGACTGGTCCAGACAGCATCTCCTCCTCTGTCATGTCGTGTAAGATGTATCGGCAACACGAAACCAGAAATCTCATGATGCGCTGCTGCATTTTCAACATCTGCAAGCCTTGGATGAGATCGCAATGAATCATCTCCCCGTCGACTTGACCACAGCAGCCATGAACTCTCCGAACTTGGCCATATACTGTAGGGTCGGTATTGGGCATGAAGTGTACAGTCGCCAACATCTCACGCGGCTTACAACTGGAACATAGGACGCCATACTGAGAGAAAGCAACCTCACCCGTCGCAAAGGTCCATGGTAGATTGCGGGCCCTCGAGTTCAGGTAAATGAGCAAGGACTTCGGCTTCGTAAGATCCTCCAGGTTGATGAATGGCCAAAGCATTACGTCGACGTGTTCCTTGGGCTTCGGACCAGCGCCTTCTTCAAATAGCATATTTTGGTGTCGCCATGCGAAGTCCGGTTGGTGCTCCATAGCGATTGTTGGGCAGGCAGCTCGCAGAATCTCACTCCTTTGAGCGACCGACTTCTTGCTCCATCTCTTCCTGATCAATGGTTCGTGTCGAATCATAGTGTCGTTGAGAAGCTTGTAATCAGAGCAGATGTTCTCGGCGAGAGCGGAGGCGTGCGATTGCGACTGTGCGATCATAACCGGCGTGAAGGTGTCCGCGTCATGAAGTTTCTTCACATGCTTGTTCAACTTCGCGGTGTCGATACTGTCAAAACTGGTTAGTCAGGCCAATGAACCCTGTCGATGAACTTACTACGCTAAATTGCGCGGCAAGACCGCTGGCTCCACCATCTTTGCGATCGCTTTTGGTAGGTCGCAAGAGGTAGGGTAGAAGTTTCAAGATGCGAAAAGTGGACTAAAGGCAATAACGGGCGCGAAAGGCGATAGTCGAGGTGAGCGAGAATTTACAGGGTCTGGTCAGTACAGGTGAAGGTGGCTTCGTTGCAGTATCGTCGCAAACATGATCGCAAGCCTGATCTGCAGGTGAGAGCAAACTTGCTGACTGAGTGCACGATATCAGCACCATGCCGAACTTGCTCATGATTGGACATGATGATCTCCGAGACAACAGCCAGCGGGCAAAAGAGGGAAACTTCTCAGGATATCTAGAGTGATATGCAACCTGCAAAAGCTTATACGAGTGCTGAAGATGCGGCCTTCCCACGAGGAAACTTGGCCCATCGATAGCGCTCAGAATGCATATCCTCAATCATACATGATTGAAGGTATACGCGCGCTTCCAGGCGCGCGTAATGACCAGATAAGGCATGTTCGTGGTGATTGTAGAGGGTCTCGCATGACGTTGGTTCAGGTGGCACGATGTCATTAATGCTCGAGAAGCGCAGAGATGTCGCTGACCCAAACAGGTATGCCGCCTGTTACCTTCTCTTCAGATAATCTTGACTTGTCGAATGGGTAGTGTTTCGACGTAATCGCTGAGCATCTTGCAACCATCTTCTCCAGACAATCCGACCCTCCGTTTTGGTTCGATCTCGATATTGATAGTTCCCATTCTCTTGAAGCTGCCATCGGTTAACTCTCGCAAAACAAGCCCGAAACAACGGCCACCGAAATTTGGGCAAATCTTCATCAGAATACTGGTGAAGGTGTCTCCAATCGTGACAGGCGGGTTATCGGTGGCTTAATCGAAGTCCATGAACGTATCACACGACTTCTTCACTTCATTACCCTCACATGGGGGACGTATCATCTCCATACAATCACCATACAGGACTTCTGGTTCAAGAACCTGCTTGAGTCGAGTCATGCATATGTGGCCCTCTAGAGTGATACTGGCATTCGTGACTTCGCCGATATGAGCCGGCCCGACCCGAGTAAAGGATAAGTCAAGTAGCCTCAGAGACGGGACGGTCGATCCGCTGTTCCAGTGAATATTGTCTCGCAAGGACGGCCACGACCACGTTGGAATGGAGTTTGGAAGACGCGGCAGCAAAGGACTACCTGAGGCATTGTGGACGTACCAGAGCAAATCGGAAAGCAGACTGCTTGTCCACATACCAGCAACGTATGTATCTTCTTTGCGCCATTGCAGTTCTCGTTCAGCTATAGCAGCAATTGCCGGTAACCGATCGTTCTCGTACGTCAACTTTAAACCGGAATAGGTAGTGACTATTTGATGCCAGCGGCTGACTGGATCGTCATTGGATTCCCAAATTCTATCAGTTTTCCAGCGTTGTTCGATAGTAGAGCCGCCTTCTGTCATAAATACAGTAGGGCATTGCCAATACATCTGCATAGTGAGTTAGTCGTTCGACATAGTACTCTAAACGAGCAAAAGACGATCTTTCCTGTTTCTAAGCTGCCAATTCGGCTCAAGATACCCCGGTACCGTTCCGTGAGTCAAATACTATGGGTGTCCCAAGGATGCGAGCACTATAGCTTACCTGATCTTTGCCAAAATGAACCATTCGTGGCGATAAGAGTCGCTCTCGATACACCCAAGCCCTAGTCAGAAGCGGAAAGCCCTTAGAAGGGAACTTAGGGAGAGGGAACCTGTCTGGTTTCTCCCGTACGTATAGCTCGCAATTCCTTAATTTCTGGGCTTTAAATCTTTCCCGGTCTAACGCGAACAGACCAGAGCGGCTATTGCTAGCGGCTGTAGCTGCAATGGTAAGATGGGCCTGTTCATAGATAGTTGCCATCGTTGCTGCTGCTTCTTCCCAGTCGTCTTTGTTGTCCTGCATGATGCCTGAACATACGAGCTATAGTTACCTATACGTTACATTATGATGACAGGACATAAGAACTTACAGCAGGCATCAATCCAGAGAAAGCTAATACCAAGCCTCTTGCACAGTTGAGCCGCGTGTGCGAAGGTTTCCGGTAGCTGATCGATAATTATACCTTCCCTCAGACGAGCGAAAGACGTCTTCTCCAACCTAATTGCGGGACCTGTTGCGCCCCAGCAATGGCTCAGACAAGCGTACATGGCTGTTTTGTTGACTCTTTCGCGAAGATAAACATGCGTGCCTTCTATCTCGAGGATTCGTTTTGGAAGCGGTGTGATCTTACGTCCAGCGCAATCACCATGATGCTCAACACAGGTTTCAATCCAATTGTGCAATGTTTGCAGAGCTCGGTCTGACGACGTGTCTTCCGATGGCAGTTTCCTCGTAGGTATGGGTGCTCTCCAGAACGAGTAATTGCGCGCGACCTGTGATGTCTGACCTGCATGAGAATTAGAAACCACAGACTCAAATCGTATTCTGAGCCCTTTCATCCCAAAGACAATTTACTCACAGACGCCCTGAATTTTCAGGTCCATCGTAGGGCGAAAGTATGATCAATCGTATACCTATTCCCCTCACTAAAAAGAGACATGCACACATTTACACGACTCACCTTCCAACTGAAATAGCTCCAGCTTTACTTCGCGAAGCCCTGAATCATTAGACCCCTCGCCCGCATCCAAGCCTGGCCGATAGATGATTGTTATTGGCTCCTCTCCTGGTAGCACTTCAATCTGCTCGATGTTATCAATTGATAGTCGCCCACTGCTGTAGGAAACGAGAGCGTCGAGCACAATTTTGCAATTATGGCAATCAGCAACAGCCCCGAGTCGAAGTCCCGAGATAGTGTTGAGTCTTGGGATCGGGTCTGGCATCTTCGGGGCTTCCCTGGGAGCCCCTTTTCTTCGGACAAACGTATACTTCTGCGTAAATAGTAATCTCGTACCACAACCCTTGTGGCTTTCATCATCTTCGGTTTGGGCGACGGAATGCGCAGGCACAGTCGAGTCGGAACGCGTCGTAGATTTGTCATCCGCGGATCCAATGTCTAGATTTCGAGTAACCATTTCTGTCGATGGATATAGACCAAGAATTATATAGAAGAGCAGAAGAATGCAGAGAAAGCTGTGATAGATTTCATCTCGTCGCGTTCAAAAAGGTAGTAACAGAGAGACAGCCAAGAGGCGGGGCAGCATGCATCTTCGCGGCACGGGCGATGATGCAGTCCCGTGGCACATATTGATTGCAGGTTCCGATGCCGGTGACCGCGTCGGGAGCGGTTGCTTGTATTCGCCGATTAAAGGATGGATGTCTCGAGAGAATGATGGTGACGGTAGGATAGATGAGAAGGGGACGCGGTAGCTGTACGCGCTAAAACGCGCCAGCCAGCGATCGCTCTTTCCGTCACCGAGGAAGGAGCGTTCGCAGTCTTAAACAATACCGCCATCACACATGGGCAAATAGTTGCTCGCACAGTATACTAATTCATTGATTCGTCTATCATAGACGCGTTACTTCATATATGTCATCCCCAATCATCTTCACCAGCATCCCACCGCGCTGGCCTTACCCCTTCCAAACGAACAATAAAAATATCAGAACTCCACCGACGCCTTCGTTTGGCTCATTTCGAGCATATATAGGCGTGATATAAGATAAAGAAATGCAAATGATATACGAGAATCAAAGTTCGTCCCATCACCATACCATGCCCATACTTTTGATGCACAGAGTAGATGTTCCTTCCCTCAGTCCAACTACAGTATCTCCTTCAGCTTCTCCTTTTGTGCGCTTGTCAAGCTGGTGGGGAACTTGATCTTTACGCCGACGATGAAGTCGCCGCGATCTGAGGGTTTCTTGGACTTGGGCATGCCGAGGTTGGGGTATCGTTCTGTCCAGGTGGGACCTGTGGGACCGCCGCTGCCGACGCTGAGTTGTTTGCCGTCGATGGTTTGGACGGTTCGGCGCCAGCCGGTAAGGGCTTCTTTGAGGTCGATTTCGATCGTGTGTTTGACGTCGTCGCCTTCGCGGGTGAACATTGCGTGTGGTTTCTGTGGTGTCGTTAGTATCGATTTTTGCGTGAATTGGGAATGCAAAGACTTACCTCAGAAACGATGAAGTGCAGATCTTGTGTTCCACCCTCCACCTGGTCGCCGACGTCTGAGAACTTGATCTTGCTGCCGGCCTTCAGCCCCTTCTTGATGGGTACCTCCAGAATCCGGTCTTGCGTGCTTTGCTTGCCGGTACCCTGGTCGTATGTCTTGCGCTTGATCTTGAGCTTCTTCGTGGTGCCGTTGTACAGCTCTTCCAAGCTCACCGCAAGCGGCTTCTCCACAACTGTGACTTCAGGCTCTGGTGCTCGTCGTCCGCCGCGGAATCGTCCGCCTTTTCCACCTCCGCCGCCGCCACCGCCCATACCACCACCCATTCCGCCAGGCATACCGCCCATGCCAAAGCCGCCGAAATCAAAGTCATCACCACCGGCGCCGCTGTTGCGCATGAACTCGCCAAAGATATCGTCGGCGTTGGAGAAGTTGAAGCCGTTCCCGCCGCCGCCCGTCGAGAAGTGGAACGAGCGTGTGCCGCCGGGCATGCCACCCGACGATGCGAAGGGGAAGCCTCCACCGCCTCCAGCACCCGCGAACGGGTTACCTCCAGCACCTCCAGCATCTTCAGGGTGTGGTACGCCGCCGCGTAGTATGAATTCGAGACCGTATTGGTCGTACGTTTTGCGCTTCTCGGGGTCGGAGAGGATCTCGTAGGCTTGTGAGCATTCTGGACGTGCTGTTAGCATACTATATCCAGTCTATATGAGCTAGTGAGATAATGTACATACCTTTGAACTTCTCAGCAGCTTGCGGGTTGTCCTTGTTCTTGTCAGGGTGCCACTTCAGCGCCGCCTTGCGGTATGCTTTCTTGATCTCATCTTGCGTCGCGGTTTCTGATATGCCTATAACTCAGTCAGCAATAGTTCATGTGTCTACCCGAGACCTCGACCACCCCGGGCCCTGGCATGCCGCGTCCTGGCAGGGCAAGGCGGTGGAGGGGCACATCCGAGGCAAACGTACCTAATGAATCGTAGAGCTTGGACTCCTTGACCATTTTGAAGTCCGATGATTAGAAAAGAAGGGTATCTCGTGTATGCGCAAGTAGTGTTTGTAAGCTTCTTTGGGGGCAGCTTATGAGGTTGGGTCGCATTTATCACTCGAGCTCTGGATGTCTCTCCACTTGTCAAACGACGCTAGCGGTGACGTCGAGCCCTGACGCGGAGCGAACACAGGGAAGGTTCGAGAAGCTTCAACCACAATGCCATACCCCGACCATCACAAACTCTGATGCCGTGTATCATGCGCTTGGGATCAAAATTAGAAACCTGAATTCGTCGCACAGGGATCGTATCGAATCGACGTATGTAGCAATGAGCTGGCGCGCTCCACCTGACGACGCGCGCTTGCCGTTCCTCGTGGTCTTCCTTGACGCGCCCCGCTCTTGCAGTCTAAGAAGCTTCACTTCAACACGTGAAGCCTCGCAGCTGAAATGAAGTCGCTATGCATTAAATTTGTATGATTTGCGGTTCCGGATATGCCGAACGCGTCATTGCGTTGCGAGCATCCTATCTCAATTGACAGCTTGAGGTCGTTTTCCAATAGCTACTTCACGATGCGGTAATCCAGCGCGAGCTCAAGCACGCCGCCGAAGTTCTTCGAATCCACTGGCTAGCCAGCAACAACCTGAAAACACTCCTAATTTACATGCAAGACATATCAACATAGGTTTCGCAACCCTATTACCCTGCCTTGACCTGTCGGCGTGGACATCCATGTCTATGTGCTAAGTCCCTGGTGTTAATACATCACAAAAGTCATCAGTACAGCTTAAGAGAAACACTGCGCATCAATGACAGCCACGTGAAAATATCAGGAATGTGAAATTTAAACAGTGAATTGAACATGTCTAGCGATACGCTATGTCGCACTTGAACACGCAATCGACCACCTTTGTCGCAGAAAGCTTCGACGCGCCATAAAACGCCAGCATGCCCATAATCCCTAACGCCATTTTTCCGGTATGCTACATTAAAGAAGCTGGTATCCAAGGATAGAGTAGTAGTAACTATGACATGTACACGATTCTGGTGTACAGCGCTTGTACAGGCAACAGCGATGCGCGCTGTCGCTTTTTGGTTCGGACGTCCATCGTTCATAACTGATCGTTTAGTCGGAGTCGCTGTCAGAATCACCCTTGCTCTTCTTCTTGTCCTTCTTGGCGGCCTTTTCGGCCTTCTTCGCAGCCTTCTCTTCCTTCTTCTTGCGCTTGCGCTCGGCCTTGTCCTCATCAGCCTCGTCGTCACCGTCACCACGGCTCTTGCGCTTCTTGCTCTTCTTGTCGGTCTCAGCTTCCGCCTCGGCCTCCTCAGTAGAGGTGAGACCAGTCGCTGGGATTGCAGGAGCGGCGAGAACCTCAGAGGTCGAAGTTGTCTGGGCAAGGGGAGCAGAGGCGCCGTCGACGTCGTTCCTGTTGAAGTCCTTGTACTCAGCGTTCCACTTGGAAGGAGTCTTGTCGTTGGGACGACCGAATTTCTGAACATGTCAGTATAGCACTCGCAAACCTGAAGTTGATCACCTACGTCAAGAGTGCCAGCCTCCTTCATCTTCTTCTTCTCGGTGGCAACTGGGCCCATACCCCACCTCCTGGGGTAAAGGTCGCGTTCCATAATGACACGCTTGATCTTCGCAACAACACCGTGGTCGCACGATGACATCTCGACAGCCGACATTTGCGCGTATGCGAGTGCAATGGCCTCACCCTTGGTGGTCATGAGGACGATCTCCTCGTGGATCTCAATGCCCTTCTCGAATCGCAGGAGACCGGGAAGCATGAGCTTAGCACCGTAGCAGATGGCGTTGACAGAGCTGTCCTTGACCACGATACGCTTGTAGCTCATCAACAGACTCTCCAAAGGTGCGATGACCTTGCGCAGGTAAGCCTCGTCGCGGTTGTTGTCGTGTAGCCATTGGGCATCGAGAACGTCGTGCAGAGTGACCAAGTCCTTGGTCTCGTCCATGGCTCCACTCCTGACACGGCGGAGCTCCTGCATGTGGGCGCCAACACCGAGCAAAAGACCAAGATGCACGCAAAGAGTACGGATGTAGGTTCCAGCCTCGCAGCTGACCCAGAAGACACCGAGCTGCCTCTCGTTGTCAAACTCGTATAGCTTGCTCTCATGGATGGTTCGGATACGGAGTTGACGCTTGACGGCGGAAATGAGCGGGGGGCGCTGGAAGAGAGCTCCGGTGAGCGTCTCAAGGGCACGCGCAAATTGCGCCTCGCCTCCCGGGAGCTTGTCGTGCATGCGAATGACGCAGACATACTCCTTTCCGGCTCCCTGCTGGGACTTGACGAGACGGGTAGCGCGATCAATGCAGACGATGAGGCAACCAGTGACCTTGGGGTCGAGGGTACCACTGTGACCAGTCTTCTCGACTCTTTGGCACGCGTTAGCTGAAAGCGCTTGGAAAGAGAAGTCACGAGTGCATCCTACCTCAGCATGCGCTTGATCCATGACACGACTTCGTGAGAGGATGGGTTGGAAGGCTTGTCGAGGTTGATGACACCGGAGCTAATGTAAGACTTGAGGTCTCGCGACAGCGGTGTGCATCCATTTGGGATGGGAGTGTAGTGCGATGTGCGAACGAGCACTGTACGCGCATTAGCAAAGCATTCTGGAGCTATGGGGAAGCTGCAGCATACGGTCGCTGTAGTTTTTGAGCAAGAGCGGCCAGTCGCTCGTGTCGATGGCAGGCGCAGCCGCCGCTGGCTTGATCACATACGCGTCGGGGTCGATCTGCACGAGAGCCATGGCGATTATTGTGTCGAGGGTTGGTGTTGCAATTGGCGATGCGATGTTCTCGAACTTTTTCACAGCAGACAGTATTTTCGCGCCGCTCAAGCTATTGGACGCTATTGGGCGCTAAAGAACGCTTGGACCATAACGCCGGATCTTTGTCGGACCGTTGTCTAACACGCATCAGATGTTCGCTAGACAACTATATTCAGGAGCGATTTCGTTATGGCGAGCTACAAACAAGTCAGATGTACAACACGCTGCGATATCATTATGGATTTATTGAATATCAAGTGTGTATTATACGCCGCCTGCAACTAGAATGCGCTCTTTCTGCGCAGTAATCTGCTTCCAACTCTAATCATTCTAGTTCACTACCTGTCCGTACTCGTTGCTGTGCAAAGTGGTGATATCTCCACTGCGGACGCCCTGTCTCTCGTTCAAGATCTCGTCATCTCCTGTACTGCGCAGCGTGGTGCCGTCCATCTTGCCATCGACACCCCGCCTAACACCAGGCTCGACCAGACTGCCCGCTCCACTGGGTACATTTGGCCAGAACTCCTCTTCAGCATCTAACAGGGCCCTCCAAATAGGATCAATCCTGCTCTTGACCTCTGCCCATCTTGCATCATCTCGGTCAACAGCGTCGCTTACACCCTCGTTGACAATGCGCTCAAGCTGCTCAACGAACATGAGGAAATCGCGATTTGACCAATTGGGAATGAACTCTCTGCGCATCGCACCGCCGTCCTGGTCGCTGTCGTAGTTCCGAGGAGAAGATTGAGCATCTTGTCGGCGGGCCCAGGACCAGGCCTCGTAATATACCTTCTCGGTCGACCATAGTAAAATGGCGCCTTCGAGCCACGGCATGAATGTGTTTGGTTGCTGGGAAGCAACACTAGCGAACAGTGCTTCATAGCGGCGAAGACCTTCGGATTTGACGCTCTCCTGGAGTGGTGAGGGCGGAAGATCGATCTTGTAGATCTCAGCGACTTCTTGGAAGAACCGCAGCTCCCTCTCTCCATTCTTGATAGCGGATTCTAACCACGCAATGAATCGCGTGGGAATGTCTGGCTCCTCACCATGTGCAGTCGTTGACTTGTGCGTACTGCGGATGAGGTTGAGGGTGTGGTTGATAGTAGCAAGATAACCTTGAAGGTACTGCCTGTCGTTTGCGAGCCATTGCGCAATCAGAGGCTTTGGCAGGGTACCCTTTGCGGCACGCTCGAGGAAGGGATGTCTTGTAACGCGGAGCAATTGTTCGTGGTTGATGGCGAGGAGATGAGTTGTGACTGCCCAAGGGACGTTGGTGGGGTCGATGTCGCTCTTGCTGGCCCAGGTTCCGGGGTGGTGGTGAGGCATGGTAAGTATCGTTCGCGTAGGATCTGTGTTATCTGTATTGAACGGTGTATGTATTCGATGAGGTACATGTTGCGGAGCTGGCGGGGTAGCAAGCTACTTATATGCTACATGAAGATGCTTGCCAAGCGACACGATGGCTCCGAGGGATCACAATTACGTGTTGAGGCTGAGGGTACAAGGACGTGTGGCGTTGCCAAGTAAGATTGATGGTGTTGAATGTGCGCATGACGTCGGACAAGGACCATCGGAGTTTGCGACGCTCTGAGTGGTGCAGGCGTACGGCAAACCGGAATCTAGAATCCCAACTCGGAACTTGGCAGTTCAATTCGTAGCGGAATTTCTTGGCATCGAACAATTTAGAACTTGTCCAAGCTATACTCTGTGGCTGAAGCAAGGCGGACTGCTTGGCGCATGACGATGCCGCCACTTTTGAGCTGCTGCTGATGTGATGGTTTGAGTGTGTCGGACAAAATTCGGGCAGCGAGATTAGTATACAAGCTCACGCGACCAAGATTTTGAGTTGAGGAACATGGTGTTTGCCGATTAACTTCTCAATTCGTACCGGCATATTGCCAGTCGTTCGATGGTCACATTGCTTCGTCGAACACGGGTGCTCCGTGGCTGTGGTTTGTAAGACGAGCGGACGTGGTGAAGAAGAAGAGAAGTCTAGACAATGCAGCAGGGAATTTAGAAGGTCAAGGGACTTGGACGATAATTTTGGTAGCCATTGTAATGAGATGAAAACATGAAGGATGATAATGAGTGAAGGTGTCCCGAAACCTCGGTCGCCTGTGCTAGCGCGGCGCGTCATACTGCAGCCTCCACCTCGAACTTTCTTGCGACCGACCGTCGACGCCAACCCTAGCCCAAACCAGCGGGCTATTCACACAGAACGATCATGGAATTCTCCGCAGACGACGAGCAGGCTCTTAAGCAATACCTGCCTAGCGAATTTGGAAAAAAGGATGGCTCCGTGAACGTCGAGGCGCAAATCGAGCGCGCGCGTAGGCCAGTGGTTGATGAGAGCAAGCAGGCAAAGAAGGAGAAAGGGTCGGACGACGAAAAGGATTCGGACGATGATGATAGCGATATGAGCGATGAAGAAGACGAATATCCAGTTTCCCACGAACTGGTCATCAAGACGCACGATCGCGCGGTCACGACGATTGCGCTCGATGCATCTGGTACGCGGCTGGTGACTGGAGGGAACGATTGCACACTCAAGCTACACGATCTTAGTGCACTTACCCCGAGTACTATCCGCGCGTTCAAGACGGTCGATCCTTTTACCACCAAACCCTCGCAAACGGCCGAGTCGCATTCGATACACCAGGTTGTGTTTGGCCCACACTCTGGAGGCCAATTCCTGTGCATTACTGCAACATCACAGGCGAGGCTGTTCAGCAGGGATGGAGAGCTTATATCAGAGTTTGTCAAGGGCGACATGTACCTGAGGGACAAGCACAACACAAAAGGACATACGGCAGAAATCACAAGCGGCGCGTGGCACCCCACGAACCGCGACCGCTTCGCGACGGCAGGCACAGACAGTACAGTGCGGATATGGGACGTGAATAAAAGGATGAAGCAGGAGGAGGTCATCGTGCACAAGTCAAGAGCTGCTGGTAGCGCGGGCATGACAAGGATGACGGCCATTGCATGGGGCGCCGCAGCCGAGGGAGGGAGCAGTATGCTGGTGTCAGCAGCACTAGACGGAAGTCTCGTCATGTGGGGTGGTGAAGGACCCTATCATAGGCCGACAGCAGAGATTAAAGAAGCGCACGCGAAAGACACATGGACGAGCGGACTGGATATCAGCGCAGATGGCAGGCTGGTGATCACGAGAGGAGGGGACGACACCATCAAGTTGTGGGACACGAGGAAGTTCAAGACACCTCTGAACACCACATCACATCCGTCAACGTCTTCACAATATCCCACATCGAACATCAAGTTTGCGCCCAACTCGCAGAGCATAGTCACAGGATCAGAGACCGGGCACCTACACATCCTCAACCCAGCCACACTTCGCCCGGAGCTGGTCACACCAGTCACGCTAGGCTCTCCTCTGATAACAGTCAACTGGCATCCCAGGCTCAACCAAATCCTCACGGGTTCGGCCAACGGCCAGACAACCATTCTCTTCAACCCCAAGCTGTCCAACGCCGGTGCTCTTACCATCCTCAGCAAGGCACCCAAGAAGCGACACCTCGATGACGACCCGTCCCTCACCGTAGACATGGACCCACTCGGTATGGCTGGTGAAGCACACGATCCTTCTGGCAATGCAGCCTCATTTTCCGCACGCCATCCCACCATCGGTCTCACAGCCTCGGGTAAGAGCCGCGACCCACGGAGACCGCATATCCCGGCTACAACACCTTTTGCCAAGTCAACGCCCGACCAAAAGTACGTCATGGAACAGATTGAAGGCAGTGATATGAGGGACGAGGATCCTAGGGAGGCGCTGCTCAAGTATGCGCTGAAAGAGGGAGAGAAAGCTGTCTTCACCGGCGCGTGGGAGAAGACCCAACCCGTTGGAATCTACAAGGACTACGACAGTGAGGAGGATGAGAGGGAGAAGAAGAAGGCAAAGCGGTAGCCGAGCCGGGGCTGCATACCGACTTGGGATCCCTACAAGGGATGTTTGTACCATAGCGAAATATACCCAATGGCATAGAGACTATGGATTAGTCAAGCCACCAATCAATCCATACAATGATCACGGGTAAAGCTCCTAAGACACCATGTGCGGAGGATGATAAGGGGCACTGACACGTGCGCCCATGGTGCCCAAGTCTTCCTCCGCACATGGTGTCTTCGAAGCTACCCAGGCAGGGCTACACTAGCGTAGCCGCGTCGCGCCCCATAAGGAAACGCAAACAACCCCACTCGCCTCGCATCACGACAACCTCCAGCCCACAACCGCCAATTCGACCGCTACTCCCTCTGCAACCCACCAATTCCGCGCCCGAACCACCGCGACGATGTTCTCCTCCACCTTCCGCGCTGCGGCCCGCGCGCCCACCTCGACCTTCGCACGCAGCTTCTCGTCCACCCGCCCCTCGCAGGTCGCGCGCATGACCGTCATCGGCCGTCTCGGAGTTGCGCCAGAAGAAGTCACCGTCTCTGGCGACAGGACACTCGTGCGCTACGTAGTAGGAACGAGCTACGGCAAGGGCGAGGACAAGAAGACCAGCTGGTTCCGGATTGCGAGTTTCGTGCAGGGCGCGCAGAAGGATTTCCTGATGAACGTGCCCAAGGGATCGATGCTCTATGTGGATGCGGATGCGCGCATGGAGACGTACCTTGACAGCGAGGGCAACAAGAAGAGCAATTTGAGCTTGGTTGCACGTATGTTTTCGGATGCGGGTGGATGAGAGAGGTCATGCTAATTTGGTGGTGTAGGCAACTTCGATGTCTTGTCTCGAGCTCGTACTGAGGACACGGAGAACAACGACGAGGGCCTTGTTCAGGAAGCTTCTGGTTAAACAGGCAGTTTTGCTTGCTCATCCATCTTGCTTCGAACATAATGTCCGATGGCGGCAGTTTCTACAACAGCTCGAGTGGCAAGTGTCGGCTGCGGGGTAGGGAAGGTTCGATGAGACACGTCTTTGCGCGGCGCTGTAGGATCTTCTTGTGGAGTTTCTCTTTACGATATTCAAATGTACGACTATGGGCTCACAATTTACTTTGTAAGATCTCTACTCTAGGAGTGGTGTGGCTTGGAATTTTACGGAATGATACCTTTTTCTTCATGATACATGAACGATACCGCCACTAACAACGCAATTACGGGAGAAATTCTAGCAGCAAAGAACCAAACTACGCACCCATCAGTTGAGCAGCTTGGTATACCTATTGCATCTCGTCAGACTACCCACTTGCGCACGGACGTGATGCGGCGAACGAAGACCTCCGAGTTGGCCCATTCCAACTTTTTGTGGCGCAACACCCGGACTCCAACACAGCACTTCACATAATGCACAGAGTCGTGCCGTTACCAGCGCGTCAGCTCTGGGGCCACGCGCCTCGAGTACGGTCGGTCAATCGCTTCAGTCGTCGCCCACGCACATTCGCGACGGTGTCTGGCGCAGACCGGTACGCCACTCTACTATCAGACCCCACCAATCAACCAACACTGACTCTTATATAGGCCATACGATGTAATCGTAATCGGCGGCGGTCACGCAGGCTGCGAGGCCTCCGCAGCAGCAGCCCGCTCCGGCGCCCGAACGGCCCTCATAACGCCCTCAGTCCACAACCTCGGTGTCTGCTCGTGTAATCCTTCCTTCGGTGGTATCGGAAAAGGCACTATGCTTCGCGAAATCGATGCGCTGGACGGTGTCGTGGGTCGTATTGTGGATAAGGCGGGTGTGCAGTTCAGGGTACTGAATAGGAAGAAGGGTCCTGCTGTGTGGGGACCCAGAGCGCAGATCGACAGAGCGTTGTACAAGAGATATATGAAGGACGAAATGCTGGCATACAAGGGGCTGAGCGTTGTGGAAGGTAGCGTGGCGGATATCATCGTGGACAGGGCACAAGAGGAGGGATCCAAGGGCCAATATGGAAAGATTACTGGTGTAAGGTTGGAGAGTGGGGAGATAATACCCACAGGGAACGCGGTCATCACGACTGGCACGTTTCTTGGTGGAGAAATACATATTGGTCTTGAGTCGTTCCCATCCGGGCGCATGGGTGAAGCGGCGACCTTTGGACTGAGCAAAAGTTTGAAGGATGCTGGATTCACAATGGGAAGGTTGAAGACAGGGACACCACCACGGTTGGACGGGAAGACGATCGACTACGAAGTTTTGGAAGCGCAGGAGGGCGATAACCCGCCTATGCCTTTCAGCTATTTGAACGAGCGCGTTCAGGTCGAGAACCAATTACTGAATCACGAGACACGTACGAACGAAGCGACGCACGACGTAATAAGAGACAATCTCGATAAGTCAATACACATCCGCGAAACCGTAAAAGGACCGCGGTATTGTCCATCACTAGAATCGAAGGTGATACGGTTCGCAGACAAGACATCACACATCGTCTGGCTAGAGCCGGAAGGTTTCGACAGCGACATAATATACCCGAACGGAATCTCCTGTACAGTTCCCGCAGACGTACAAGATATCATGCTCAAGACTATCAAGGGACTTGAGAACGTCAAGATGCTGCAGCCTGGCTACGGTGTAGAATACGACTACGTCGACCCACGGCATCTTCGTTCTACACTTGAGACGAAGAACATCTCAGGACTCTTCTTAGCAGGCCAAATCAACGGCACAACTGGCTACGAAGAAGCAGCAGGTCAGGGTGTAATTGCTGGCATCAACGCTGGCCTGAAGAGTCTAGGAAAAGAAGCCATGGTTCTGACGAGAGCAGATGGATACATCGGCATCATGATCGACGACCTCATCACAAAGGGTGTCTCAGAACCATATCGCATGTTCACCTCCCGCTCCGAATACCGGATGTCTGCGCGCGCCGACAACGCCGACACACGTCTCACAGCTATGGGCCGAGCCGCCGGCGTAGTTAGCGACCTAAGATGGAAAGCCTTCGAAGACGAAGCCGAACAAATGGCCGCTCTGGCCCAAGTCCTTCAATCCAAAACCATGGGTTGGACAGACTGGAACAAAGAAGGTTTTCCCGTACGAAACGACAGCACAAAACGTTCCGCATATGACCTCCTCCGCCTCCCCAACACCACCCCATCCAGCCTCACCGCCCTCCTCCCCGAAATTAAAGGCTTCTCACAACGCATCCAAGACCGCGTTCACATCGAAGCCACCTACGCCCCCTACGTCGCTTCCCAAACCGCCACACAAGCCCGGTGGCTCAAAGACGAGAACCTCAAGCTACCAGTTGACCTTGACTACGAATCCATCTTTGGGCTTAGCTTCGAAGAAAAGAGGGCGTTGGAGGTAGCAAGGCCGGAGAGCGTGGGCATGGCGAGACGCGTTGAGGGTGTTACGCCGACGGGCGCGTTGAGGTTGTTGCAGTTTGTGAGGGGAGTGGGCAAGGAAGAGAGACAGGCGAGGATGAAGGAGGAGATTGAGGCGAGGAAGGAGAAGTATAGGGGTGTGGCGCAGGGGGTGAGTGTTGAGGGGTTGTGATGAATGGGTGGCTGTGGTGGAGTGTAGGTTTGTAAGATATGGCATTGGGCGGCGTTGATAATCCTCAGATGCGATAGCTAAGTCTTCAAACTGGTTTCAAATGGCGATGGTCAAAAGACGGCATACAAAGTCAATCGCACTCATTCCGCATACCAAGGTACAACTCCAATGACCGTTGCGAACCAGATCAGGTCCGATTCTGAGTCAAAGGCGCATTCTCTCTTGCCTCGAAATCCAAACTTGCAGTGAACGGAATGTCGGGGTCGCTGCTGCCTTCCAGGACTGTGCCCCGCTGTCAGATGACGTCGGTTCGCGGACGCGACTGCTAATCTAGATATCACATGATGCCTACCGTGCCACTCAGTTCTAACAACAGCGTTTCGAAATGGGACTTTTTGTTCTTACTTCGCTGCAACCGCCCCATTCCAAAATCTGGGTCTTCCGTCTTCCACTCCCACAACGAGATCGAGATCGCCGAGTTCAGCAGCGCGCATCGGAGTGAGTTGCGCTTACATATCGATTGGCATCATCATTGGATGTGAAGATGGAGAAGGATCAGAATGGTACGTCTTTCTTTTGTCATTTTCCGGAGGTGCATTCGTCTGCTACAATCTTCGTCGCGGTGGGGGGCTGAATTGTGGTTGCGCACCGAGAGGTGCTACGCCGCTGTCAGCTTGAGTATAACTGTGTTTCTGGGGTTGAGTCGAGTCTGCGCTTTACTTGGACCCTATTATGCATGCGCTCAGAACGACTCCATCCCACCGGGCTACGCCGCCATCAGTTTGGGTGACTGCGCCTTTGGAATTGACTTGAGTCTGTACCTTACTTGGATCGGATTATGCAGTCGTTCCTGTATCCAGGACAAAACCGCCCCGGCATGCTACGCCTCCATCACCTTGGGTGACTGTGCCTTCGGGTTCGAGTCGAGGTTATTCCTTGACGCGGGTCAGATTACGCAGTCTTGTTTCTGTGCCAAAGAGGGGGCGGTCTCATTTTGAGTGCCTCCGAAGACACGCGCGGATGAGTATACGTGTTGAGAAAGACGTTGGGTATAAGGGGATGCATTCGGAAGCCAGTTTGGATCTCAACATCTTCGTTCGAGGCTGTCTCGTTCTTCAACCTATTGCTTAGCTGATTCATAGTCATCTCTGACGCTCTTCAAACTCCTTATTACAGCCATGAGGCTCCACTTAGCAGTGCTTCTTTTCGCTCGGCTGACGTCGTCGATGTTATCTGCTAACCGTAACGCCGCAGAATCCCTGGAGCCAGTCAAGAGCGAAGGAGCATCGCAGAAGGATGTAACCCCGCCAGTCGATCAACAAGCTGCGACTTCCGAGCCGAGAGACGTCCCACTTGGATCTACCACCGTTGAAGTGCAGCGAGATGCTTCGTCTGAGACCCGAGTTTACACGGTCTGGGCAAGCGACGTCCACAACGAAGCCCAGGTCAATGAGACGCGCACTTGGCTCAAGAGCCTTGTCAAAGACAAAGACAGGATGCGTGACCAGCTGGGATGGACCTGGGACACCTACGAAGATTTCCCCAGAGAAGAGGTGAGCTGTGGATATACGAAACACATGGGATATGAATGCTGACTTCAGGTGTTCCCTCTGTAGTGGGACAGGCTGGCCGATGAAGGCAGGTTAGAAGAGGAGTTTGACAATTACGAAGTGGTGCGTTGCTGGTCAGGCGTGGTCTTGGACCAGGCTGGATACGAGAAGGTCGCAGCCAAAACGGAATGGTAAGTTATGGCTGTACAAAGTGCATGGGAGACATATGCTAACTTTGTACCTTTACCCCTGTAGGATAGAGGCAATTGAAGCTAGCCTACACACTTCGGACATGAACGCACGTGCACTCCCGACAAAGACATATACCGTCTACGCAGCCGACATCAGGAACGAGGCCCAAGTCAACGAAACTCGGGTTTGGCTTGAGGGTTTGACCAAGGACAAGTCTAAGATGCGCGAGGAGAAGAGGTTTCCCTGGGATGAGCCCGAAGACATACCAGAAGACGAACTCGACAGATTGTACGACGAGGGCAGGCTCGACGCCGAGCTTGACAATTACGAAGTAGTTCACGCGTGGGGAGGCGTTATACTAGACCAGTCAGGGTACGACGAGGTGATGGCCAAGAAGGAATGGGTGGAGCATGTCGAAGATCCGAGTCAATACCACGAAGTGAAGATGATTGCTGTCCCCAGAATGAGTAGCAAGACCACGGGAACTCTGGAAGCTCGGAAATTCGAATGGGGAGATTGGCAGAAGCAGGAGGGTGCAGCGCGGGACTTGGTCCAAGCCAGCTGTTACGAGTAAGTAAAGGTCTGAATGCTGTATCTTGACTGGGCTAACATGTCAACCCAAGGGGAAGCAATTTGGAGGACTTGTAAGTACCTACTACGGTACTTGAAGCCCTAAAGAGGCCGGAACTAACCTGTTGCAAACAGCAAGGACTACATTTACGAGAAGAGAGCTGGAGAGGGAGTACATGTGTATGTTTTGGATGATGGAGTACAGGTAGATGTTAAAAAGGTAATGACTTACCTCACATACGTTGGTGACATCGCTCTAACCCGACTCCAGGAAACCGACGAAAAAGTGTTTCCAGGTTTCGACAACGAGCAGGACAATAGCGGTATCGTAGAAACAAGAGCTTTCACCAACCAAAATGCTGCGCACAACATTCGATACGACCATTCCCCCAAAGGCCACGGAACGAAAGTAGCGTCCAAAATCGTTGGGCAGTGGGGAACCGCAAAGGGAGCGACACTGGTGCCGGTGCAGGTCAAACCGGGCGGAGACGATATTGACAACGGGTTCGAAAGGATTTTTGCAGATGTAAGCAGGCGGCGCAAGAAAATACCAGGGTTCCAAGCTGTAAGTACGACCAACAACCGACGCCATCGACGCATGTTTACTGTTCTGGACTAAGCTTATTGGGTATACTAACGTCGCGTGACTTTCAGGTTGTCGTTATGAGCAGCGGCACGGAACGCGCCGTCGCAGACAATGGCCACAAGGGCTACACACGAGAAGAAGCAGAGAACGATTACAGAGCAAAGCGACAGATTCTCTGGATAAAGCAGTTATTCAGTTACGGGGTCCCCGTGGTGCTCGCTTCTGGTAATGAAGCCGAAACTGAAGGCCGAAAAGTCATCGACAATTTCCCCCAGGTCTTGGAGACAGATGACTTTCCCATTATCAACGTCGGAGCTGCCACGCTTGCAGGCAAAGCTGCACCTTTCTCGCAAGGCCTGGGTACCCAGCCAGATCCAGAGAAGCGCACACAGCTGACCATCTACGGTGTTGGAGTGGATGTCGACGTCCACGATCAATATGACGGTGCAGCAACGCAGGATTCGGGTACGTCGTTCGCTGCACCGGCGGTGGCAGGCATTATTGCTACACACATGAACTACGAATCCTGGGACCAGAGCAAGCAAGGACCCGACCGAGTGAAAGAAATCAAGAGATGGATAACCACGCCTGAGTCGAGCTGGGAGCGTGCCAAAGATCCCGACAAGCAAGTCAACATGGTAAGAACGACGGCAACACAACCCGAAGTTAATAAGGAAGCTGACTCAAACAGATCTGGAACGGCGCCGACAAAGCAGCCCACGGCAGCGTCTCCAACAACCAGTCGCCCAGCCCATCCCCTCAACCCCAAAAGCGCACCTTTGCCGTCGGCCTCGAACAAACCAAGACCCCAGAATGTTCCAGCGTCATCTCTAACCCTGATTGGCCCCCACATGACAGCTGCGATTTCAAATACGAAAACCGATACTTCTTCTACCGCCTCGACGACAACAACCAGGAACCCGACAGCCTGTGCACCTCTCTACTCAACGACTTTCACCAAGACGACCAAGGCGTAACGACCGACGAGAACCTCTTCGAGCATCCGACGTGGCCGGCGGGAGAGTGGACCCTGAATCTCTTCGGCGAGGAATATGTCTATAGGAATGATGGGCAGAGTCCGGGGGCGCTGTTTAAGGGCGAGCAGCAGATTGGTTGCACGGGTGATCTGGAAAATCATGGTAAGTCTAAGATTTCCGGAGTGGCTGTGCGCTTTGACTTTTTGCTAACGAGTATCATAGATCCTCTGTCGGATGAGTTGTGTGAGAACAGTCTGACCAAGGAAGATGGGAGGAAGAGGAAACGGAGACGGCTGGTTGGTTGCACTTGGTGAGTGCATGTGTGGTCGTGGCAGCGACATGGGTACCTCTTTCTGTCGTTTGATTCTTTTTTGCTCTATGTAGGCTTTCGGGATGTTTTTGTTTCTACGATCTTTTTGTCTCCGATGCTATATGTACAGCCACCTCAGATGCCAGGCACATCTTCCGCTCACTCCTGCTGCGACATGTGTGTCGGGAAGTTGTAATCCGTATAATCGATATGTACAAACGCGCGATCAACGTACGGCACACTCTCTGTGTGGCTGTTAGTTTACAACTCCGTGAAAAGATAGAGAAGAATGACTTACCAAGCACATACTGCAGACTCTCACCCAAGTCATGGCTATCCCTCAAACTGAGATTCTCATCCACCACAATATCGACCTCGACATTCAGCTTATCACCCGCATGGTAAGCCTGCAGACCCTGAATCCTCTTAATAGACTTTGCAAAGCGCATCGTCATGTAAAGGAGGATGTTGCGCTCATCTGCCGTGGCACTAGCGCCAGTCAGGTTACGAATGTGCTCCGCGGAGGTAGCACTCCAGTTAATGATAACATAAGCGGAGAGCAAGATACCGCCGAGCGAGTCGAGCCACCAGATCTTCGCGAAGTAACCCACGAGCGGAAAGAGGATAGAGAAGGTGTTGAAGACAACGTCGGTCATGGCGTCCTGGGCTAGTGCTTGAACGGACGAGTTGCGGATGAGGCGGCACCATAGCCAGCAGAGGCCTTTGATGACGACTGTAGCGGCCATGATGGCCACGGCGGGAATGGTCAGTTGCACGATTGTGCGGTCGGGTCCTGTAAGCCGGGAAATGCCCTCGATGCCGACTTGGAAGAAGGATGTCATCATGATGACGGAGAAGATGAGTACGCCGATGGGTTCGAGACGGCGGCGGCCGACTGGGTAGGCGTAGCGGTCTTGACGCGCTATCATCCAGGATGTGAACCACACGATGGCCGTGGAGAGGAAGTCGAGGGCTGCGTCGACCAAACTGGCGACTACGGAGAGGGACGAGGTGAGGACTGTGACGACGATCTTCATGATGAGGAGGGCCGTGTTTGCGCTGAGGTTGACGTATAGTGCAAGCTTGACAATGGGGCTTTCGGTGTCTTCGTCTTCTTCCGGGACCCAGTCCTTCAACTTGGAGTTTGCGACCTCTAGGTCTTCTTCGTCTTCTACAGCCTCGTCGTGTGCGAGAAGAGGCGTGTTTTCGTCTGCTTCGGGGACTTTGTAGAGGTTCTTTGGTGTGCGCTTGACCATGGGCTTTTGCGCGCCATTGCCGTTGAGACTGCCTGATGAACCACTTCGCCCGTTCTCACTATAGTAACCGGGCGTGTTGGTACCATTTGTCCCAGCGGGGGTAACAGCGAGGGGAGAAGTCGAGGCCGAAGACTCTTCTCGGATGGTTGAGGGAATCTTGACGGCGCCAGATTCCATGTTCGTGTACTCTTGGATGAGGTTGTGGGGGAGGGAGGAGTCGAGTAGACGGTCGATATATAGGTAGTGCTGCAGGAGCTGGTTGTTGCGCTCGTAGTATTCGCGGATCGGCTTCTTCATACCCTTGAGCTCTTCCTCGGATTTGTAGTACTTCTCCCACTTGTACCGGGGATTGGAGTTGCCAATCAGCCGCTGGCTCCTCATCTGCGGCGTGTTGAGCACATGCGCGCCTATGCTGCTCCTCCGATCAGAGTCGCGGTCGTAAGGCATCACGAGCCCGTTTCTGTATGCTTCCAGGTCTTCATCGTCTGTGTCGCTGCCCCGGCGCTCACTGCTGCGTATAGTGGACGGTCGACGTGCGCTGTTGAGGAGCGAAGGGAGGTGGTGCCCGCGCGTGGATATCGCCGAAGCATCGTTCTGCAGCGGGAGGAAGAGCTTGGAGCTGGCCAGGCGCGGGAGGCTCGAGGAGCGTGGGACCGTCACCGGAGAGGGCGACTTGGGCGGTGGTGTGGAGCCATAGTCTGTCATGGCTGCGATTGGAATGCAGTCGCTCGAGAGGCGTGGTTAGAGGGCCAATTGCTTCGAATCAAGTTCCTGCGCGTCGACGCGACAAAGACAATGAGCCAACCTGGTGTCGTTCTCTTATCGCAACGGCGCACCGCGATGGACTACGGGAAAAGACTTGGACGGGTAAATGCGCGCGCCGGCCAAACAGACTTGAGATGAAAAGCGCGGCGATGCGAAGAGTTAAAAGAAGATGCCGTAAAGCACTTCAGCCGTGTCAACGCCCAAGAGACATGACCAACCGTGGTACCGCCGACGCGTGCGCGAATGCGACGAGTAGGTTCGCCGAAACAAGAGGGTCCTGGTTCGGAGACGGGATCGACATTTCTGAGGCCCAGAATCCTTGCGCCTGCATCCACTTTAGCTGTGGCCATAGCGCCACACTAGCAATCTGGGGTCGAACAGCCGAGACATCGCTGCAAGATTTCGACTATAGTTTCGTGTCTTATGTTTCACGCAGTCACATTGAGCCCCTCTGGAACATTACTTTCATTCGCTTGTCATCCGGAATCTCCCGTTGGGACCTGACTTCATGAAGTTGAGCCTGCTGGCCGTTCTGTGCCCATTTTTTTGGCGGGGACCCACACTGACCGGCAGTCTCAAGTAATGTACTCATCCCCACGCCGGTACAGTAGCGTCGTTCCAGGTCTCAAACTCCTGTCTTGGCTGTCTATCATCTCCAGAGGTCGGCGCCAAATTTTGAACCCTTGACACGAATGTCTTGGTCATTCATCAGCTCTAGGGACCCCAGGATGCCTTCCCCACCTATTCACCACACACAAAGAAAAAGTCGAACACCTGCCTCCTAGACATCTGCCTTACCCTGGGATACTTTTGAGTTGAATTCCTAAAGTAGTGTAGATGGCCGCGCACCTGTCCAGTCTTTTTCCTTATGTGCGATAACCTTCATCACTCTTCCGCTATGCTTAAGTCGTCTTGCGCGCACATCTCGATGAGCCCGATGAAGATGTATGGTTGGTCACGAATTCGCTTCCGGCAATTCGCTGCGTCGCGTGCTAGGTGCTCATGCAAGGTGCAAGAATTTGGCATGGCGTCCTCCAGCCAAAACGGCATACCCTCCGACGACTCTGTCTCCTTGAGCCTCTCGTTTTGGACAACCATGACATCAAAAGCAAAGTCTTCGTTCATCTCCTTTATGGTACGCAGTCGAGTAGCACTGCAGGTTCCAGGCTTCGAGAGCCAACAGTAAGCTGTGGACAGGACCAAGAGGCGAATGAACTTAGATGATGGCGGCAGTTTTGCGTACGCAGACTCCATCATTTCTCGCTCAATATCAGGCCACCAACTCCATGAAATTGACTGTGCGGTCAAGGCGGTCAAAACGTCGTCTCGTAGCTGGGGGACGTTGTATTGGTCGGCAAAGACGTAAAGACGCAGGAAAGAAAGCAACGACAAGCGGTGTCCGTTGATCCATTCCGATTCCTTCAAGTATAGCCCTTCTATCTCTTCCACATCCCATCGCTTTTGATGGCCGCCCAGCTCGTCGAGTGCTGATATATCATCTGGGAGAAATCCGACGTCTGGAACGCTTTGCGTACGATGCGGGGGCTGTAGCTCTACAGGACCCGTGGTAGTGTTGCCAGCATTCTTTGCTGTTGATCCGGGAAGAAGTATCACAGGTGAAGGAATGGTAGCGCCACTTGAGTGCTGATGAACTTGGGTGTGTACCCACTGTAGAAACATACGAAACGTTTGCTCGGTGACGTCTGTCAGGGAAATGAAGCGATCAGTGGCTTCCACGAAGGAACCCTCGAAAGCGCCGCGAAAGTAAGGTGAGACATCGGATAGTAAATTGCGGTAGACGGTGATATTGACTGCTGTGTCTGCTTCGCCGACACGCACGGTGACTGTGTCGAGATCCATGGTTCTATCAAAACTGTTAGAAACGTCGCGGATATCGTGTCGATGCGCCTTACAGAAAATTTGAAGCCATGACTGTGACGACTGCGACCAAGCACCACTGTGGGCGCCGGGGTCGAGATGCGCTGTTTTGAGTGTGGGATTCAATGCTGGTAATTGAGGACGAGTGTGGAAATGGCGACGACCTCGGGACGCAGTTGCCTATTCCGTAGCGCCACGCTAGTCAGTGAATTCACCGTAATGCTTCTAGAACAGCACCCTCAATGTCTTCCCTAGAAGGTTCATGGATCACTGCGCGACAAGGATCGAGCTTTCATCGGACAGTGGCTCATGCTCATCTGTCACAATTGGAATCCTTCGTTTGCTACATCCTCGTGAAGTAGTCCAGCACCCGGTCCTCTTCACTATTCGATGCTCCAAGGACACCATGCGCGAGCTATGGCGCCAGAGCATTCTTGTTCTAGGCTTTCCGGAAACTGAGAGTGATGGAGTTCACCGACCATGTCAGAATCATCGAGCTCCTCTTCCACATACATTAGAATAGTGCAGTGATATGTTGAAACAAGCAAGTATCTTCCGCCTTGCCATAGCATTTGTGTCAACAAATCCTCCTCTTGAAAACCTCATTCCACATCAGCACATATCAGAGATGTGATACTTTCTCCCGTCAATCCCGTCAACCCAGTCTGTCTTCTCCGCCACCAACCTCGCCCCTTCCTCGTCGAGCATACACCCCGACCACTTAGATACAACCTCAGCCTCATCAAGCCATTGCTCCAATCTACCTTCAGCATCGGCCTTTTCGATCTCTTCTTTCGGTATACCCTCATCACCCCAATACCAGCTGTAAAATTCTCGTATCGCGAACGTGTCGTACACGATGGTGTCGAGCCACGCTCGCGTGGCGGCCACTTGGGCTATGTTCTTAGGGTCTTTTGCGTAGACTGTGTACCGTTTGGGAGGGGCAAGGTGTGCTTTGACCGCGCGGAGGCGACGAGTGGCTGTTGTTTGGGGAGGACGAGGAGATATTCCGAGACGGTGTTTTGGTTTGGAAGTTTAAGTAGGGTGGCAGCTGCTGTTGCATGGGTGTTTTGCAGTGCTGCATTTTCTACTCTCTTACATCTTCTGGAAGTATACGGCGATGGTGAGCAGCTCTCGTACCTTCCACATGTTTCAATTCCATATCTTCAGTACGTGGTTCTGCGACCAAGTTTATGAAGTAGGTAGGAGCGAACAATGTGCCAGTATGCCTAGCTGCGACATCAATCGTTGGGATGGACTCGTGGAGTAGTCTTCAAATTGATAAAGTCAATAATAACAGCAGATACAGTCCCGCCTCTTAAGCTGACCATCTCAGTGCGTCGTTCCTTGCCTTGGGAAGTCATGTGAAAAGCGGGGGAGGCGTGGTCAACTGTAGGAAGGTCGCATAATTGAATGTTAGCCTGCCCCTTCAGATCAGAACTTGACTGATAGGCCGAGTAATGCATGAGATGCCATGATAGAGTCCGGCATGGCGCTCTGCGATTTCGCGCAATGTAGGCTATGCGTGTTAGTTCAGCGCGGTCACGCCGCGGAGCCGAACTACGAAGTTAGACAGATTCCGCGAAGCAGAGCGCAGGATACTGTTCTTGGTACATGACTACGGCCTTCGCTTAGGACTTCAGCGTTTCTGCGCACTTCAAAGATCTACTAGAGAGCAGCGAAATGTCAATGTTGCAGGTCAGCGCACCTGCGCGTTTGAGACGGCGATGACGCTAAAGCCCCGCTAGCGCGCCGAACACGGTCTAGCCGTTTCTGCTTGCCGCCCGCCAAGCGCACCAACATCGATCAATATTCCTGGCTTTTTTCCGACATCGACAACACCTTTCGACATCCGACTACTCACAACAAGCAGTCAAGATGCCGGTATGATATCACCGCCCGCGGTTGCGACGCACTGCAGGGCAACTTACTGACACTTTCGCAGTCCCAAAAGTCCTTCCGCACCAAGCAGAAGCTTGCAAAGGCGCAGAAGCAGAACCGCCCCATCCCCCAGTGGATTCGCCTGAGGACCGGCAACACCATCAGGTACGCTCTACCCACGATCCGCACGCTCTCGCCGCTTCCGATCTCCGTCACTAGAGATAACGAGGACACGATAATATGATGATGAGAGCACGAGACTGACATTCCGCCCACAGGTACAACGCCAAGCGCCGACACTGGCGCAAGACTCGTCTCGGTATCTAAGCGTATCGCCCCCGACGAACCATCCCTCACTCGATTCTCGATTCCCAACTACTCCTTGTTACTGCGCCGACAATCTACCCCACACGAAACGAGCGACTACATTGGGAATTTCGCACATGGCGGGAAGCGAGCGACCAGTCTTCTAAGCGAAGCACGTCTGCAAACGAGGGATGCTATGGGTGGTGTTCTTTTCACGTTACCGGATACCTACCTACCTCTCATTCATGGCGCTTTGGGTCTGTAAATGGGAATGAAAGGAATCGATTCATGATGGTTTAGATCTAAGCAGTGTTAAATGGAAACACTTGCTGGGTCACAACAAATGACTTTGGTGCGCTGATGATCGTGATGTATTGCGTGGAATATGATCCCAGATGCGTCATGTGTGACGAGCGTCGCTTTTGTCATATACTGGACAATCGCACTCTTAACACGGGTTGGCACTAAATCCATTCCTGGCTCATCACCACACCCAGCCCGAGAAGACTACACATGTACGGCGCTCTTGTGAAGGATATTGACTACACTGCATTAACTGTACTCCGCGATGACCCCCGCGATATTGATTTAGCCCCATTGCTTAGCCTTTCGATAACACCACCTCACACAAGGAAAGACCCGCCAGGTCTACAGACTACACTGGGATAACACAGGCGAATTGGAAAATCTGGCGTCCATGTAGGCTCCAGGGTTCTTAGTCTTCTCATTGATTGAGGTGACTTCTTGGAGCAACCGTTCTACGAGGATCACCTCCGCGCGTAAGGTTTCTTTGGAGCAGCCGACAACAATCGCCGTTGCAACGGTAACGGTAAGCGTCTCAGTATCAGCCCAAGGCGGTCTCTGTCGTACGTCCGATCGGCCTAGGGATGGCCATATTAGCGAACATGCCTCAGAAAGCAAGCCACCTCAGACAAGGAAAACCCCAAACAGGTCTGCAGACTACACCATGATAGGAACAAACGGATCAGAAGATCTGTAGGCTCCGGGGTGTTTACGGGTTTTCCCGTATAAGGTGAAGCCCTCGTGTTGACGCTCTCTGACCCATCACCTCCCACTCCTCACCTGGAACTTGGGTCGCTGGGTCAGATCCACGATCAAACAAGTCTCCTCGCTCTTGCCCGCTGTCTCGTACAGACTGACAACACCCTTCTCGATCTTTATCACCGTACTACTGCCTGCATAGCAAACGCCCTTCTCCATTCCGCACCGATTCGCCATGATGATATAGACGGGTTTATCCCCCTTAGCCTCAACAAGCGGTTGAAAGCGCTCGACCCAGTACGCCACCGTCGCTATATCCGGCTGCGATGGCTCTTGTACAAGTTCCGTAGGCGTGAGATGGCACAGCCAAGCCATGCTTATGCAAACAATCGGAGATTGTGATGTCAAAGCGAGAGTAGAGAACTCGTAATCGGCCCATGGAGAGACAAACTTGTAAGGATTTATGTCCATACATATCCCCATGGTAACCTTCCCCAGGCTACCGAGTTGGCCGGCATAGAAGGGAGAATCTGGCGATGAGGGATTGGATAGTTTATGCGACTTCGAACCCGGTCCCTCAGATGCCCATGTCTCGTCTGTGTAGTAAAGGAAGGATTTCCGGTAGTTGTTTAGTATTTCTCCATCTGGCGATACAGTGACGGTGGAGTTGTACTGCGTTTGACTGTCCGCGGGATTGGTGGCTGGGGTGGTGATTTCTGGGTAACCGACTGTGACGTGGCAGTTGTAGTGTTTTGCTACTTTCTGCGCCCATTGGGTAGAGACGCCGGATGTGGTGGGCTCGAGGAAGGGTTGGATCTCCTCGAGCGATTGGAAGTTGTAGCCTGAAAAGGCGAGTTCGGGAAGGACGAGCCATGCTAGGTCGTGAGGAATGGCGGTGGACTGGAGGATACGTTCTGCTCTTTGGATGTTTTCTGGGATGCGCCCGACTTCTGGGGCGAATTGGAGACAGGCGACTTTCATGTTTGCAACTCCCTCAGGTTTGTTTGGATGAACGGATTCGGGTTACGTCTAGGACTTTGGCGTGGAATTGTGAGGCTGTCTGGGGTTTTCGGAAGGCTGCTAAGGGAATTCTTGTATCTTGTGCCTGAATCAGTCGAGACTGATAGGCCGAATAGTTGCTATCTTCCCGTGCGGCTGGGAAGTACCGACTGACGCTACTCAGGCACCAAGCACTGGTTGATTTGTCGTGACAGATGGCTACGAAGTCTGATTGGTTACCAAAAGGAAAATGGGACCGAATGCGGCGACCGATATGGAGAGTACAGTAAATCAAATGTCGCGCTGTTGAGGGTATAGATGCAGCTGGCTGCCCCACTAGACGATCAAGACCCTTGTCGGCTATGATGGCCAGCCAATCGCGCCATATCCGCACTCCAGCCTAACCCCATCCGGCTATGACGCGCATAACTTTCGATGGCCTCACGAGAGCCTCCGCAGCTTACGCAAAGCTACAGCACCCCTCGTCATGTGTCGCGCCTCCCGGTAGCCCTTTCATCCGATCGAAATGGCAGGTAGACGGCTTGTCGATGCCGCCAAGCTATTCAATGCCTCCAAATCTGTCGCACAGAAGCACGTCGCGCTTCGCTCTAATCAGTGGGACGCTTACAACAAAACCTCGTCGCTAGCCAAAGCCGTCAAGAACCAAACGGACCGCGTCACCCTCACAGCAGCCGCTGCCATTGCCCTCTCACAGCGCTTCAGCGAAGAAGCTCCCTCGTACGCGAAAGCCGCAGCCGAGCGGGCGACGAACACACAATGGACACAGCAGGCGGATATACCTAGAAGAGACACAGTGAGGAGAGATACACCCGTGGAGGGTACTAGAGAGGGTGTAGAGCAGGATCATCACTACGATCGATCTGGTCAAAACAGCGCTCAGGCGCCTCCGCCCACAGAGGAACTGGAGGTCGAGCAGAAGAAGGCCCCCAGATCCCCGCTACCAGATGGCACCATCCCAAGCCAAGGGTTGACACTCGAACAAGAGGAAAAGGGCAAGGATGTGTTCTCCGAGAGGCCAGTACATGAGGCGCCGAAGGAACCTCTAGCTGAGGACCAGGGTGAACAAGTTCGTCACAAGGACGATGGCATCAAACCGGTAGAGTCTACTGAGACCACCATACCGCTTCCCGGCAACCCCAGGGGCGCCTCTACACAAACCTCTGAAACGATCCCCGCACACGCGAACGACCCTCAACAGACGCCGATATCTCCACAGGCAGAGAAGCTGCAGAAGGGTCATGACAGAGACGTCTTCTACACGCGATCGGTCGAATCGCAACCAACAGCCTCGTCACAACCTCAATCACAGATACCTCGGAATTCAGGAACAAAACAGCAAAGCGACGAACACGTGCCGGATAAGCAAATGAATCAGGATGTGTTTTACAATGTACCCAAGCCGGCGCAGGGGCAAGTGGAGGAAGACCTACCAGAGGGCATCAACACGGATGTCTTCCATTCGAGAAAAGTTGCTAGGATGCTAGGAAGCGATCCTTTCTCGAGAAAGGAATATGCAGAGCGGAAGACCAGTGATAGACATCCGTTGGATGACAGACCCGTAGCAAAGACCACCGGCAGGCATCCACTCGACGATAGACCTTTGCCGTCAGTACAGCAACAAAGTCAACCGTCAACGCAGTCAAGACCGGTCCAGGAATCCCAACCCGCACCTTCGCCAAAGGAGATGGAAGACTTAGCTTCTCAACTTGCCCAGGACGTGCAGTCAAATGCGGCTGCGTCTGAGGTATGCCAAATCCATCTACTAGCCTGAAGCCTGCTGATTTGCTGACAGTTGTACAATAGTCACCAAATGAGGTAGTGACCCAGCCAGAGAAGTCATCATACGCGCTGCGAGAGTCGAGAGTCCCTTCGTCACGGTTCGGTCGCATATGGCAGTACGCTGGTTTAGGCACAAGCATGGCACTCGGAGCTGTTGGTGAAGGACTTCGACGAGCGACCGGCAGTGCTGCGTCAACTGGTGGCTCGTTGATGCTGAGCCCCGGGAACATGGAAATACTGGTCGCAAAGCTGTCCCGCATGCGAGGTGCCGCTCTCAAGCTTGGACAAATGATCAGTTTCCAAGACATCAAGATGCTGCCACCAGCGATTCACGATGTTTTGCAACGGGTCCAGGACAGCGCAGACTACATGCCGGCCTCACAACGGAACAAAGTCTTGAGCAGCAACCTCGGAGATGACTGGCGAGATCTTTTTGAATCATTCGAAGATGTGCCTATCGCGGCGGCGTCGATCGGACAGGTACACAAAGCAGTGCTCAAGTCTAATGGTCAGGCAGTAGCTGTCAAGGTACAATACCCTGGCGTTGCCAACTCTATCGACTCTGACCTCAGCAACCTTTCCATTCTCCTAACAGCATCTCGCCTCCTGCCAAAGGGTCTGTACCTAGACAAGACCATCGCCAACGCCCGAACAGAATTGGGTTGGGAATGCGATTACACGCGCGAAGCCGAATGTCAAACTCGGTTCCGCAACCTTCTCCAAGACGATACCGATGTCTTCACCGTCCCTAAAGTCTTCCCCGAAGCCTGTGGCCCCACCGTCCTGACGGCAGAGCTCATGCACGGTGTCGGCGTCACCAAACTCAAGACTCTAACCCAGGACCAACGCGACTGGATTGGTACGCAGATTCTCCGTCTCTGCCTCCGCGAGATTGTAGAGTTCAAGTTCATGCAAACCGACCCCAACTGGACAAACTTCCTCTACAACGCCTCCGCCCAGAAGATCGAACTGCTAGACTTCGGTGCTTCGCGAGACTACCCCGACAAGTTCGTCGAGCCCTACATCAAAATCCTGATCGCAGCCTCCAAAGGCGACCGCGCCTCTCTCCGCAACCTCTCTGTCGAACTCGGCTACCTAACCGGCAACGAGAGCCCCGCCATGCTCGACGCGCATATCCAGAGTGTGCTCACGCTTGCCGAGCCTTTCAGCGGCAGTGGACCCGAGATATACGATTTCAGAGACCAAACGATTACAGATAGAGTGCGTGGCTTGATCCCCGTTATGGTCAAAGAGAGGCTTGCGCCGCCACCGGAGGAGACGTACTCGCTTCATCGGAAACTCTCGGGCGCGTTCTTGCTGTGTGCGAGATTGGGCTCGAGGGTTCCGTGTAAGGAGTTGTTTAGTAAAGCGGTGAGGACGTGGGAGGGGATGGCGTCGTTGAAATAGACTTGGGGGTGTGGGACGATGTGTAATGTAGTCTATGTATTTTAGGTTGTCTTTGGCAGCGCTTATATGTAAACATATATCTACGAAGGATGTATCGCCTATCTTCAAACTGTGCAGCATGCTTCGTTTCTTTCATTGTTGGTTTTTTAACGCATACACGCTACATCTTAGGCCATCAATATCCGCTCCCATCGCTACATCACTTTTTCAATTGTGCTACCTTGTTAGCTGCAACCCTCCTTCATCTTCTTTCCCATGTTTTTGCGCTCTTTTGTGGACACTCCTGTTTGCTCAACTAGCCCTAAAGGATCCAGAAGTTGCTGGAAGGCATATACATAACCATCATTATGAACATTCATGACCAGATTAGGAAATTTGATACATGGTGGTGGCTGAAACATGGAGCTACTGACTCTAATGAAACAAAGAGCGGCACGGAACGAAGGGATGAAGGCACTGCATGTGGTCACACATTCCGGAGCAGAGGCACGCAGAAGTGAATTTCGCACCGTTTTATTTTCACATCCTCGTATCCGCTATCGAATACCCAGTGGATACTATCTCTTATAATACAAGAATGACGTACGAACACCGCTCATGCACTTTTGGTACCCAGCTTTTTATTGGCCTCCTTCTTCAAGTCCTCCTCAGCCTGACCATTGAACCACAAGTACGCCGCAAGCGCAATGAAAGAACCAAAGCCACCCGCCATGATCATCCTGCCGCGGAAACCCTGTTTCCTCTTCAAGGCTTCATCGCCGCCCAAGATGACAACCGCTTTCTTGGACCAGGTGTACTCAAGACCGCTGTACATCGTCGTGCTGGCCACGATGGCTGACATGCCCTGGATCATCGTCTTGACGCCTTCTTCGCCTCCCAGTATATCTTGGATCGACAGGAGCAAGCCACCAGCTGCGGATGTCGTGGCTGAAGGATCATGTAGCAAGTTTGTGCAAAGCAGCGTTCCCAACAGACTCAGCTGCAGAAAGGTGTTGAACTTGGATATGGTGGTGGGATGTACCTCCGCGCTTGGCAAGCTGAAGTCCCAGTATCTGGCCATGGTCTTGGGTGCGGGTAAACTGGCGTATCGGTAGTAAAACGCACTCACTGCCAGACTGACATCTCTTCCCAGGATCAGTGCGGCGAGTGGCATCGGAAGACTTCCATTGACTGCCAGGCATGTTACCAAGGTTGTCATTAGGAGCTTGTCGGCCATGGGGTCGACGACGCTGCCGACCACGGTTTGGAGGTTCCAGCGGCGGGCGATCCAGCCATCGAGTAGGTCGGAAAAGGCGGCATAGGCGAAGAGAGAGAAGGCGTAGAGATGTTGGTCGTGGATGATTAGGTATCCGACTACAGGGGTAGCTATGAGTCGCGAGAATGTGAGGATGTTGGGGAGGTTGTAGATCTGTTCGTGACGCGGTTTGTCGAGTTTGAGGGTGGACTTGAGGGTTGTGGCTAATTTGGCGGAGGTGGAGGCGGGTGAAGGCTGCAGGAATATGGTTAGCTATAGAGTCGTGTTGTAACCGTTTACAAATTCGCTGTGGAATTAAAGGGACTGTTCGCAATAACTGAAACAATAAAAAAATACAAAACACAAACGCAAAGTTCGAGAGTTAAGAGAGAGAATCTTTTATATCTTTAGTAATCAGACGGGAAGGAAAACGTCCAAGAAGTATTATTCAGGCTCCAGGCACGGCCTTACTCTGAAATCTGATCGGTACTATGCTGGTGATATGAAAAAAATTGCACCTACCTCTGTACCGCTTCTAGGAGCAGGAGAACCAGTTGCTTCATCTTCAAGCTTCAGTCTTCGTGTAGTCGAAGTACTGAACAGACTAGCAGGACGAATTCCACAATGCTTCCAGGGTGTGTGCACTAAGGAACGTCGGCTTATGTTGACGTCATCGCGACTCCAGGTACAAGAAGCACGTGAGGAGGCCGAGCACAAAGCTTGTGGATGCTGTGCACGCCGCGAAAGCGTTCTTGGGTTGAGAGAAGCTTCTGAGAGAGCTGCAATGGTACGACAAGGTGTGTAGGCCCTCGCCGTGAGTATGGAAATCATCGACGCTGATGCATTCGCGTGTTTGCGGTCGCGCTGAGGGTGAGCTTGAAGCTCGCAGCTGCTGTCGGAGTTTGCCAAGAGCCACTAGCGACAAAAGCAGAAGCCGTCTTACAAACGCTGTCTTCACTTCCTCTCTTCACGTCTTCTACCTGATGAGATGACTACATTGCGATCTGATCAAAGAAAGACGAGGCGATGATTTCCGCCACAAAAGATCGCCTGCGAGCTATCAGCGCAGATCTATTTTTGCCACACACATTATCGTTGCTAATGAAGAAACTGTACCCTCATCCGGTCAACAACGTCTATGCAGACGCTAGGGAAACTCACTTGCATGCAGTACGTTCATATACTTGAGACTCGCCACCCCAACACGTCGATCCAAAGCAGCGGGCTGTACAGCGTATTCGTAGGCTCGCCAGAGGAAACGCCTAGTCACCTCGCGGCGATACTGCGGGCAATATCCTAGTGATATCGATAGACGCATCTCCAGGGTCTCAAACTTTTCACATCGAACGACCTGACGCATCCTAGACGACGCCACCAGCAGCGACTACGGGGACTGACACTCGTGGTGCGAACAGCTGCTCAACATTGAGTTGACACCTTGGCTGCGTTCTAGAAGAACTGGAATACCGTTAGCAGCAGTTGAAACAGCTTAGAAAGTATGAGCAGTAGACGGCCCAGCTCGGCTGAGCTTCCACGTCTCAAGGCTGCTCAAGCGTGTCTTCGACCGCTCATCCACTCCAGTGGCTGGACACGCTTGCGCTCTTGCCACGATCATTCGACGTCGCCGAGGACATCCCGCGCCTACCAGGAGCATCATGCGTTCAAACACTGCGGATGCTTGGTTCAGCTGTTCAGCCGCTTCTCCACGCATCGTCAGTCTCAGACTGGTCCGCGGGACTTCTTCCAAGTTCCGCACTTGGACTTCCCTGCTGCATGGCTAGGTGCGCAAATTACTCTTCTTTGCCTCTTCATTTGGACTCTTCCTCGGCCGACTTCTACATTCGTCATGTAACCTAGCCACTGTCAGTTGTTCAGTCTAGATGTCGCGATAGCCGCAGTTGTCGCAAGAACGGGATCTACTGATCGCCCGGGTCTTACCGAGCAAAGGAGTGAGCCATTGACTCAGGCACCACCACGTGAGCGGTTGAGGATTCGCTGCTGCGAAGTTGCATAGTCCGTAAATGGAAGCAACGACTATCGATTCCAGCGGGGTTGCAGACCCTCTGCTAATCTCCGGGGTCACGACCTCTTGGCTACATCTATAGTCTGCATATGATACAGGAATCTTCCCAGAGCCAGCGCCCCTAAGCTCAGTTTAACAGGCATCTCGATTTTCGAGCACTTGTGAGGTCCGGCCATCCTGGATAGATACGCACACCACTTCTCTTGATGCTACCGGCCGCCTTTCTGAATGGCTGCAGTAGCTTGTCTCCGGGATTGACTTTGGGTCTGCCATGTGTCATGCGTCGTGCATCAGGACACTAGGACGGCCAGTGGCTTCGCTTCGTTAGTAGCCCACATTATCCGCTGAGAAACTCTAATCGTCCTGCCTCCACCGCCATGAACTCAGCTCACACTATTGCGCAATGACGATGACCGGAGTGGGGCTCAGTAGTCAAGCACGTAGAAGCGTTCCAGAAGAGCGTAATGCAAAGGCAGAATCCAGCTCTTCACAGCGTGCGGGAAATCTTCGGGTTACACAACCAAGGTACACTTTCCGTGTCTGTCTAGCGTTGAGATCTCCAAGCATTTACTGATCTTCAGATCAGCTCAGGCTCGAGCCTGCGAGAACTACTCACGGGTAGTTTGATCACCCCGCCACGCGCTGGCAACGTCGTCCTCGTGGACCCTTCTGCAAGTGACAAATGGACCTGAAACTGCCGACAGTCTGATACCCAGCCTCCGAGTATCTGATACACGGTTATGGCAGATCAACGCCCTAAACACGGAAACGACCCTGCTTCGGCTGTTCTGCCAACGCTGCCTTGTGCTTGTAGGAGCACTGACTTGACTCGTCATTCCTGCCAGAAGTGAGCAACCTCAAGCTTGCGACAGTGGCACGGGAGGTGTGCTTGAATACTGGATCAATTTAAGTTTTCGAGGTAGGAATTATGCGTGGGTATTTGAGGCTGCACAGCAAAAGGGGGTTCATCGGTTATTCGATACGATCGCAACGGCTAAACTTGCCAGACTCGTCCATTGCCGTCTGTTCCTGAACCAAGTCGCCAAAGCACGATTACTCAAGACATCTTATCGACGGACGCGCATCGCTATCCCTTTTTTGCTGGACAAGTTCTGTTTGTTGCTGCAAGCCATGACTTTCAATAGCACTAACGGGCATTCAATATTTGATGTGGTGGTTCGCACTCCACGCTCCTAACCTAATGCTCCTATATCACTGCATGATAAGGGCAAGCGCAGATTTCGCACGCAGTTCCTAATCACACGCGACGTTGAAGCGAAGCCATTCCACTTTTGACCGGCATCTCGTGTCCGCTTGCGGCAGTTGGACGGAGGGCCACGAGTTTCAGGAGCGCGACTCCAGGCTCCGCTAACGCAGGTACCTTTGCACACCAACCCGAAATGTTGTTTACTCCGCCAGGCGTATCATCACTAGTACACCTGCACCCCCGCGAACATTTGTTTTCGGCAACGGTACTGCAGGTCGACGGTCACGCACAAGTCCCGCAGAAACGGCGCCGATGTTTGCGTCGTGGATTCAGATATGGGTTCGCCCGCGATGTGGGCTCAAGAGCGAGTGTCGGATATGAGTAGACCGAAAGTATCGCACAGTCCGCAATCGGTCAAGAAACGTTGAATAGTGTGGAGATGCGATTCGTTGAGTGCATATGGTGGGGTGCTATGAGTCCAGCATTCATGTGCTCAGGCGTGCGCAGCTCCACTAACAGAGATCCCCACCTCATGAATTGCAAAGCAAGAGCTTGGAGCGTACGCGGTGTCTGTGACATGAGGTCTTCATAACGCATGAATGTCTAGGTAATGCTGCCCTATTGCAGCAGCGCTTGTACGCGAGAGGGAATGACGCCGAAGGTTTTGATTCGTTCCCCGACCAATGAGCGGCGGTGGCCGGTGGATAACGGCTAGCCAAAAGTAAGTTCTGAAACGAGGGCCGCTATCTCACTGGCTTGCGAGCGAAGCGTCACGCCGGCCAGAGAGGCTTCAGTCGTGGCCGAGGACGCGCTCGTAGTGTGTGGATGACAACCGCAGACATGAGGAGGTGACAAGCAGATGGCGACAGATTGGATCAGATGCTGCTTCATGATGAGCTGGGAGATTTGCAAGAGGCGATGGCCGCTCCCGCAGGCTGGCTAAAAAGCGCGTTTCAGATGAAGATCAAACCATGCCCAGCGTGCTACTTCTGCTGGTTCCTGCATCTAGACGCACCACACTTGGACGATGGACCAGCCACGAGTGATGACTTCAGCGACGAGGCTGGGTGGTGGTCACTGACGACATGTACCCGTGACGCACTGGCCGAATTTGCACGAAGCTGCAGAGTGATGTTCCTGCATTGGTAGCGCGGCCTGGGTGATCGATCCTCTGCGCGACACGATTACCGGCCATCGAAGCAGTACTCGGAAGTAGGCAAACATGGTTCACATCCGCATCAGGGAATGGCTGGTAGCACACTGGCAGTGCAGCGTGTCTTGGCAGCGGACGGATGCGGCAAAAAGGAATGTCGAAGGTGCGCCGGACGATGGTTGTCCAGAATCCGACATGTCGTTCTGGCGACCATGGGACGACGGCGGCCGGCGGGCTTCTAGGTGGTGGTTAGAGTTGCGCCTCTGCAGGGCCGGCAGCGGTGGTGGTGGCACTTGGGCACATGACGATGGCCGCTGGAGGTGGGCTCGGGTTCCCTGCCAGGCCTCGAAGCTAAACTGACGCAAGCAGCGTGTTTTCCATGGCATGAAGCAGCGCGGCAGGCATCGGACCGCGATGATCGATACTCTAGATGGGCAAACTGGACGTCTGTGTCGCGAGGGCCTCGTGGTGGGCTGCAAGCGAGGGTTAAGGTTTTCGAGTGTCTGCGGCTGGCGGGGCTAGGCCGGATGTGGCCTCTGCGCCGAGGGCGCGCAGGGCAGGCGCGGGCGGCGAGCAGCAGCAGGGAAGCAGGCACAGGAAGCGTGAGGAAGGCGCGAGCGAAAGCGAACAAGGCGAAGGAAAGGGCAGCCCGGCCGCCCAGGCACGCACCTGCCCCGGGCGCGCGTCCCAGCAACATGCGCCCGGGGAGATGAGGTGCCATGTGTGCTTGGGGGATCCCAGAGCAGAAAAAGCCGCTCAGTAGTCGAGAGCATGGGCGGCCAGGCCAGCACATTAGCCAACCTTTCGCGCTGCGCTCACCACGGCATGCACGGCCGCAGCACGAGTCGCCCGCACCCCTGCCGGCCAACTGGCCGCTGCGCTCGCCTCGGCGCCCCAATTGGCCGCGCTACCTGCACTGGCCAGGCCGCTGACTGGTGTGCGGAAATAGATCAATGTGAGACCACTAGCCTCCTGTTTCACACGCCCTCCGACACCTAAAGCTGCCGCTGCCCCCTCAGATTTGCGTTTCGTATCCCCCTCCCAGAGCTGTACCTTCTTGGTGAATTCTTGAGACTGCTATCTGAGGCAGGTTCCTCACGTTTTTATTATCCGCACCACCGTCGCGTTTTATTATCTATCCTTTTAAACATAGCCTGACACTCTTTCGTTTTCGATCCTG